TCCAAGAGGATGTGGTGGTGGGGTCTCATTCACTCTGTTGTTCAGGCTGGAGTGCAGTGGCACAACACAGCTCACTGCAGCCTTAACCTTCTAGGCTTAAGCGATCCTCTGGCCTCAGCCTCCCAAGTAGCTGGTAACATAGGCACGCGCCGCCGTGTCTGGCTAATTTTTTAATGTTTTTTTTAGAGATGGGGTCTCACTATGTTGACTGGCTGATCGTGAACTACTGGGCTCAAGTGATCCTCCCACCTTGGCCTCCTAAAGTATTGGGATTACAAGTGTGAGCCACATCGCCCAGCCAAGAACTAGAGTTGAGACTGGTTCCCACTCCAAAGGGTCCCCGTCACCCCTACAGGGTATCCACCTGCTGTCCCTGCTTCACTTTGAAGGGCATGGCTAAATAAAAGGGGTATGGAGAGGGGATCCTGATTGCCAGACTCTCAAAGGGAAAGAGGCAACCCAGGACAAAGGGTGGATCAAGGTGCTGTGCCCACCAAAATGAGTGCCTCAGTTTCTCTCTGCCACAGCCTTTCACATTAAGGCCCACTCCGTGGAGGGGAGGGGAATCTAGTGTTTATCCGCCAGGGCTGGGTCCTGGTGGATCAATGCTGAGACCTCAGGAGGGAGGAAGGCCACTGCCTCCTCTTTGAGCCCACACATAAGAAAGAGAGGGGACGGCTTTCCTTGTTCTCTCTCCCCCACCCCCGGAGCTCAGACTCTGAACCAAGATGCAGTGATGCCCACAGATTTATGCACATGTCCCTAGCTGAAGGGGTGTGTCCCAGGCTGAGGGGCCAAGAGATCCTCGTAAGCTGAAGGGTGAGGGTCAAAGGAGGGTGGGGCAGAGGGGGCCTCCTTTGGCCTCTTTCCCATACACTCCAGGTTGCAAAAATTTGTCTGGGAGGAAAAGATTACAAGAGGGCGAGAAGGCTGGAAATTGGAGACCCACTGCCTCAGGCCCCAGTCTCACTGATGTCTAGGAGAGTCAATTCTCCATCAAGCTTCTCTAAGAAATCTGGGAGACCCCAGGCCCCACAGCCTTCCTTCTTTCTTTCTGTTTTTGTTTGTTTGTTTGTTTTTGAGACAGAGTCTCACTCTGTCACCCAAGCTGGAGTGCAATGGTGTGGTCTTGGCTCACTGCAATCTCTGCCTCTCAGGTTCAGGCAATGCTCTGGCCTCAGCCTCCTGAGTAGCTGGGACTATAGGTGCATGCCACCACACCCAGCTATTTTTTTTTTTTTTTTTTTTTTTTTTTAAGTAGAGATAGGGTTTTACTATGTTGGCCAGGCTGGTCTTGAACTCCTGACCTTGTGATCCGCCCACCTCGGCCTCCCACAGTACTGGGATTATAGCCGTGAGCTACCGCACCCGGCCTCAGGCCCACAGCTTTCTTAATCCATCACAACAGCTCACACAATACAGTTTGTTATGAACTAGCTACTTTTTAAAGCATTTTTCCTCAAAAAAGCTAAATGAGGTAGACATGATCATCCCCAATTTACAGATAAGGCAACGGAGGAAGTTAAAAGGCTTGCTCAAAGTCACACATCCAGTGAGCGAGAGCTGGGATTCAGACCCAGGCATTCCACCACCATCATCATCATCATCCCTGTTCCTAACTGTGATGGCATATCACCTGCTTGAGGGATAATGCTTTGTTCATTCATCCAGCCACGTGTTCCCTGAGACTAAGCTTTGGTCTTTGCCCTCAGTCTTTGCCCCGAGGCCTCTCTGTCAGTGCCTCCACCTCCAAATGGGCCAAGGCTAGAGGGGAGCATGGCCAGAAGTGCTTGGTGCCCCCACGCCCTGTGCCTCCTACCCCAGTTCCTCCTCCTCAAACGCCCTCTCCGGAAGAGGTTCCCCTTCTAGGCTGGAACCTGCACTCATGGGTGGGAGGGCCTCGCTCAGCCCCCGCTTAGTCTGGGCAGCTGTGCCCTCAGAACCAGGCCCTGAGGCTGCGAAAAGAGGACACAGCTGTTGGGCATCTCTGAGGTGGGCCTCAGCTGCCAGGGGTGTGGAGAAAGGCCATTGTGAGCCCTGCCACGGACCCAACTCAGGAGGGTCCTGCCAGCTCCTGCCACTGCCCATGGGGCGGTGCTTTTCCAGCTTGGGCCAGTGTCTGGGGAGCCTCTTCACTGGCTTGTTTAGGAGCTGCTAGCTGGCTGCAGCCTGCACCCTGAGGGCGCCCACAGAACTGGTGTCCCCAGGCCGGGTCTGGCTGCCCGAGGGGTCAGCATGGGCAGTGGCTGTCCCCCCTCCCTTCCCCCATTCCCAGCCCCTAAAACTTGCTGGCCACAGCTGCAGCACTAAGGAAGTGCAGGAAGTCCTGAGCGGCCAGCTGAGCACCCCCCAACCCCCCCTACCCCCTACCCCAACCTCAAGCTGACCCCAGAGGCTGCCTGGTGTGTGTGTTGGGGGGGCAGAGGGGCGGGGCTTGGGTAGTAACAACTGGAAAAGTATGAAGAACATCACTGCCAGTCCCCAGCTCTGAGACAAGGACAGGGGTAGATCGGGGTAGCGACAGGGTGAGAGAGAGTTACAGACTGGCAGAGAAACAAAGGGGGGGGGGAGAGAGAGAGAGAGAGAGAGAGAGAGAGAGAGAGAGAGAAACAGATACCGCAAGACGGAGCAACAGAAAGAGAGAGTGAGTTAGAGAGAAATTCCAAGTCAAAAATACACATCACTCATGCAGACACTCGCCAGCCGATGGCCTCTTAAGGAAAGCTTCCAAGTTTGGGCAGGAGGGTTCAGGTGGCAAGAGGGGTGGCCAGACTCAAGGTGGGATGCAGGAACGTAGCTGGGGGTGACTGAGTGTTCCCAGGAAAGGCCCAGGCAAATGACCCACAGCAGGGGCAGTTTGATATCCCTGAGCTTTTAGGGTAGGGAGGAGTGCAGCTCTCCCCTCCCCCAGCAGTCAAGAGAATCCCAGCTTCTAGAAGTCACTGGACACTGCTTTGAGCCCAATACTCGGCCCTCTGGAACCCCCCTGCACCCACCGTCTTTGCTCTCGTTTCTCTGACCCTCCAAAAGGAAATAAAAGGAAAAAAAAAAAAAAGCCCATTCCCATAGAGTGGCTGAGCCTAGAGGAAGAAGGCAGGAAGAAGCTGAAAGGGAAAAGTCTGTGATTGTGTGCATCTAGGTGTGTGCTTGGCTGCACAGGCTACAGTTGTGTGCACCTGGGGTTATGTGGACACAACTGTTCGTGTGGACTTGGGCCTTGTGAACTCGTTCTGTACCTGAGTTCAGGGGCCCATGTGCAAATGAATGCACCTGTGTCTGCAGGTTCCACAGTCAATCAACTAACAAGTAGTTACAAAGCAGCTGTTGTGCTAGGCTCTGGGTGCGATCCAGAGCTCTTCAAATGATTCTCCCAGGTCTCCAAGAGCTCCCTGTCTAGTAGGGTTGGTATGTCAAGCAACAGAGACCAAAAACATGTCATCGGGAATCCATGCTTTGCACCATTATGCAGGAACACCTTTTCATACAGCCAAATTTAATTTTCTTGGGAGCAAGGTTTTCTTGTCTACAGAACCTCAGAGCTCCACAATAAGAGTCCAGGAAAATACTTGTTGCTAAGTTGTGTATACATGTGTTGATGTGTAACTGTGTTTGCATCTGACTGAGTGACAGCTACTGTCATGGCAAGCAATGACGACTGTGTGACTGGGCTTATGTGAGCACGTGTGTGCCTGTGAGTGACAGGGTCTTTTGTAATTGTGCGGCTGTGTGCAATTGCTCTATGTGCATGCATGCATGTGACAGTGACTTTTTCTGTGTGGGTGACAGCAACTCCTCCTTGCCCGTGTGTGACAGCCTCGCCGTGTGACCCTGTGCGTGGGTATGTGCCATGGGTCGGTCCCCATGCTCTTGGTCTCCCGTGGGTATGTCCCACCCCTCTGAGCTCCACAGTGCAGCAGCAGCCTGCCTCTTCCCTTGTCCCCATGTGGGTGTGTCCAGCAGCTCCTGTCCTTGAGTCCGCCTGGGTGTCCCTGGGTGTGCATGTGGCTGTCTGTGTGGACATATCTCTGTGTCTGCGTGTCACTTTTGCCTTCCCCCCATCTTGGACAACAGCCCCCTTCATCCCCTCCCCCTCCTGGAGACGAAGCCAGCACTGAGGGGCAGGCTCCCATCTTACTGGCTTTCCTTCTGTGTTCCCCACCCCCACCCCTGGACCGGTGGCTCTTTCAATTGCCCCTGTCATCCCCCCAGGCCTTTCTTTCACGCTGGGCAAGGGAGGGCCCCAGATGGAGAAGGGGCACCAGAGACACGTTGCAAGGGGAGGGAAAAAGGTGGGGTACACACACACAGGTCCATTTCTCCCTCTCCTCCCCAGCCAGCAACTCTCCTAATCATCTAGGCACCATCAAGTGCACCCCCTCCACACACACATTCCCCCCCAGCAGCCGCGTTTTTGCAATTAAGAGTGTTGCAACCAGACAGCCATGCTCAACTGGAAGGCGGGTGAAGGGGGGGGAACTTCCCTCTCCCCGGACCCATGCAAGCCCACCCCCGCCACCGCACTCATACTGCCCTCCGCAGCTGGAGGCAGCTTTGCAAAGGCCACTCAGCCTCAAAGGCTAGGGGTGGGGGCTGGGTGGGGGCTGGGTGGGGGGCAGGCCGCCGACGCACCGTAAACAAACCGCGGCGCGGCGGGCGGGGGAGCTCCGGCGGCCGGCAACGGGGCCCGGCCCGGGAATGCGCAGCAGACTGGCCGGACAGAGGCCGGGCGGGACGTCGAGGGGGAGGCCCAGACGCCATCTCCGCCTGCAAACCCCGGGACCCACCGACCTCCTAGCAACACCTCCCTTGCCCAGGGCGTCAGTTGCAAGCTCCTGGGCTCGTGACAGGGTCACTGGGGCGCCGGGAAAGGCTGAGGCTGACAGCGGGTACCCCCTGGGCGACCCCGGCCCGCCTGGGAGCTGGCCACAGAGCCCCGCGGCTTTGCATAATCAATCGCGAGGCATTTGCATATTAATGCCCCCTCGCTCCCTCCTCCTTACCTCGGCGTGGCGCGCTGGACCGGGCTGGGCAGCGACGCGGGGGTCTCAGCGCCCCGTGCCTTGGGCGTCCATGGGGGGCCGGTGGGGCCCGGGCCGCCCGCCTCCTGCGCCCGGGTGTGAGTGCGAGTGAGCGCGGGGGGGGCGGGGGGCGAGTGTGGCGGCCCCGCGGCTCCTCCGGCAGAGGCGGCGGCCGCTCTGGCTCCTCCCTCCCCCGCCCCGCTCCGGCTGGGGCTCGGGCTCTGCGCGCCCGGCCGGCTCGCGGCTGCTCCCTGCAGGCCGCCTCGCCGCCGCCCGCCCCCGCTCCCGCCCCCCGCCCCCTGCCGCGCCCCGGGACCCCCGCCAGCGGCCAGGCCGCCCCTCGGCCGCCTCTGCCCCGCCCCGCTCGGACTCGCCCTCCCCCGCCGGGCGGCTCCCGCAGGAGTGGGTACTTGGTGACATATTTTGGAAGAGATGTCATTAAAAAATAGCCTTTGCTTGCTGGGAGAATTGGGGGTTTTCGGGTTTGCACCATGGGGGTGGGGGAGGAAGTACCGAGGAGCCGCCTGCACCTTACACATGAGGAGAAAGTCTAAACACCAAACGCTTGCAGGTGTAGAGTTTGTTTAAGAGTTCGGGTCCCTTCTCCGCCAGTAACTCACTGTGTGACCTTGACAAATCACCACTGCTGTCGGGGGCAGAGCTTCCTCAAGCTTCAGCCGCGAGGGCTGGGCAGATCACCCCTGACGTCCTTTTAACTTCAATCATCCTGTGTTTTTAATCCTTGTGTGGGCTCAGTACCTCCCTCCCCTCTCATTTCTAACATCAATACCGATCCACTGCCTCCCCTTTCCAATATCACCCTTCTCCATATAGGCTCTTTCTATTCTCTGTCACCAGCCATTTCCCCAGCAATCTGCTCCCTCTCCTCAGCTCGGGGAGGGGACAAGATTTGCCATACCCCCTCAATTCCTAGCTCCTGGGTGGTGGTATTTCCCTCGTGTTTGCTCCCACCAAAATCCAAATGGTACCAGAGTCAATCTAAGGAAGCCGGTGGGCTGCATACAAATGGACCCCCTAACCCAGCCCAAAGGAGAGGTCTCCACTATGCCAGCCCCACCCCCAGCACACACACAGACACACACACACACACACACACACAACACACACCTGCATTCATGGACATAAAACCAACCCAGTGACGCCAGAGCCCCTTTCATCTCGGGATCTCCCAGTTCCAGGCCAAGCCCTAATTACCCCAGCAACCCCCTGGCCCCGCCGGTTCCCCTGCTGTCATTAGCCCAGTTTTACCAGCGGGGGCCACAGCCTTCCCATGGCTCTCAGGGTGGGGCCCTGCTACACAGTCTGCTCTGAGAGGGGTGTGTGTTTGTGTGTGAGCATGTGTGTCAGGGAGAGCTGCTCAGCTCATGGCCCAGGTTATACTGGATAGAATCACTTGCTGAGTGTGGGATCCTGACCCACAGCTTATCCAAGTTGGGCTGCCCTTGCTCATGTCTCAGTCTCAGCCACCTGCATCCTCAGTGCTGTTGGAGCCACTTCTTTCACAGGGGATACTGGAATTTGTAATGCTTGGCGGAGGGGAAGGTACCTCTCTGGGGGTCCCTGGAACCATGGAGATGAGAAAAGCAGCTGGGATGAAATCCATGGCATGCAGAGTGCAGCGGTGGTGTTGAGGGCATGCCACAGGTGAAGGGAGCCTGTGATGTGCAGTGGCAGCTAGAATGGGGAATTGAGGCAGCAGCGTGCAGAGTCTCCATGCGGTAAGCGAACCTGTGTTCAGTCTGGGCTCACGGGAGACAAGCAATAGCTGCAGTGTGGGGCAGGAGGCTGCAGCGTGCAGAGTCAGTGCAGTGAGCAGAATGAGGTGCACTGAGGGTGGCTGTCTGCCAGTCGGTGCCACCTCCTCAGTGATCAGGTTTGGCCGAAACCCTGGGGTGCAGCGTGTGGTGCTTGGGGTCTGTGCTCTACCCTGTATGGAACTAGTCCCTTGGGATTGGGCTGTTTAAGGAGCTGGGAGGGAATCCTGATGCATGAGATACATTTATACTCTGCATCACAGAGACAGAACTAGGAGGCAGTGGGGAGGGCCAGCAGTAATCTGGATCAGGGCCGGAGTGATGGAGTCCAGAGGCGGAGGAGGAAGGTGCTGTGGTTTTGTCTCCCTTCCATCCTGGCTTTCCCCACCATATCTCTCTTTGATGCAAGGCCCTATAATATTGTGTGGGGAAGACTTTCTGAAATCCTAGACCCAAAGCCATATAAAATAATGTGCCTTCCGATTCACTTTTTTTTTTTCCTGAGGGGCAGAGGAGGGCACTCAAAGACAAGGGTTTACCATTTTCCCATTTTCGTCTTCTCCCTCTTTTTTTTTTTTTTTTTTTTTTTGAGACAGAGTTTTTCTCTTGTTGCCCAGGCTGGAGTGCAATGCTGTGATCTCGGTTCACTGCAACCTCAGCCTTCTGGGTTCAAATGATTCTCCTGCCTCAGTGTCCCTGTAGCTGGGACTACAGGCATGTGCCACCATGCCGGCTAATTTTGTACTTTTTTAGTAGAGATGGGCTTTCTTCATGTTGGTTAGGCTGGTCTCGAACTACTGACCTCAGGTTATCCATCTGCCTCGGTCTCCCAAAGTGCTGGGATTACAGGTGTGAATCACCATGCCCAGCCCCGATCTTCTCCTTTTAAAAATTTATTATTATTATTATCTGAGACAGAGTCTTCCTCTTTTGCCCAGGCTGTAGGTGCAGTGGCACAATCTTGGCTCACTGCAACGTCTGCCTCCTGAGTTCAAGGGATTTTCATGTCCCACCCTCCCAAATAGCTGGGATTATAGGCATGTGTTAGCATGCCCAGCTACTTTTTTATTTTTTATTTTTTATTTTTTGGTAGAGACAGCATTTTACCATGTTGGCCAGGCTGGTCTTGAACTCCTGGCCTCAAGTGATCCTCCTGCCTTGGCCTCCCAAAGTGCTGGGATTACAGGTGTGAGCCACCGTGCTGGTCACCCCTATCTTCTCTTTAACTCTCTCTCTTTCCTGGGCTCCCAGTATGGACTGGTGACAGATCTGGGCAAGACAAAGTGAAGGGCACACTGCCTTCAAAGCAGGCCTCTGCCCAGGTGCCAGGATCCAGCCCAGGTCTGGGCTTAGAGCCTCTGTCCCTGTGTTGCATCATCCGTCTTCCCACCCCACTCACCCTGCCCACCCATTTCTTGAAGCTGCTAGCTCTTCTTAGATTCAGTTCATCCTCGGCTCCTGCTCTGTCCTTGTCATGAAACCCCCCACCAGGGCTGTCCCCTCCCATTCCCCACCTCTGCTTCATCAAATTCCCCAAGTCTATCAGAAGGGTAGGGGTGGCATGAATAAGGATGGATAGATCCTCCAAGGGATGGTCCCTGCAGCTGGGATTTCCGTTGCCAAGGAGGTAGCAGGAACAGCCTGTTCTCTGGGCTCCCATCAGAACAGCCATGCCCAGGCCCCTCCCTCTCTTCCTCTGTCTCTCCTTCCCTTCCTTCCAGACTGTTGCTAGGAAGCACCCCAAGATTTCTTGAGGATACGACCCCTAGGAAACAAGGTAACCAGATATCTTTCTAAAGAGGTTTTTTTTCAAAGTCTGGCAGCTAAGACCCCACACAGCATCTTCTACCCCTGTCCAGAAGCCTTACACATCTCTAGCAGTTTGGGGAAACAGGAGACAGTCCCCTTTACCAGCCACCCTAGAACAAGCTCTGTGGCCTGGCCTCAGAAATTCCCCTCCCCTAGCTCACCTTGACCTCCTGGGCCTAGGTCAGCAAGTGATGGCACATCCAGCATATACCTCTAGACTCTGCAGATAGAGCTGAACTTACTGGGGGTGCTCTGGAAAGACAGCAGAGGAAACTGAGGCTCCACCAGCTAAGAGAACTCAAAGCTCAGATGTTTCTCCCTCTGAGGGATTTCCCAATCAAGAAGAATGGTGGAAATGGATGGAGGAAAGAAAGTTGGAGAGCAGGCTGGGCAAGGTGGCTCACATTACCAGCACTTTGGGAGGATAAGGTGGCAGGATCTCTTCAGGTCAGGAGTTCAAGACCAGCCTGGGCAACATAATGAGAGCCCCCCTATCTCCAGAAAAAAAAAACAAAGCCCACAAATGATCTGGGTGTGGTGGTGTGCACTGCACCTTCAGTCCTGGCTACTTGGGGGGGCTGAGGCAGGTGAGAGATTGGGAAATTAGCAAACAATTACCCTGGGAAGAGAAAGTGACATTTAATTCTCCCCTTTGTCCCATCAGGTGCCCTTGCTATGGGTCACAAAAGAGGGAGCCAGGGAAGGGACCAGGACTGGCTGAGCCTTGCTTTTGGTAGCTGAGGCAAGAAACGGAAAAAGAAGCTGACACCTTTTCCAGGCTGTCTTTCAGGGTTTCTCCTACCTTTATTCATTCATCTGACACTTTTTTTTTTTTTAAAGCATTTAATACGTGCCAAGTATTAGATTCCCCAAATGCTCCCAGCTTCTGGTTTCACTTTGCCTTACAGTCTTCTCATCCTGTCTTTGCCAGCAGGAGAGAGGAGAGGAGGGGGAGCAAGGAAGTCTCCCTTGCCATCAAAGTTTGACGCTTACCTTTCTGCAGCTATCCCCCTCCAGTCAAAGGACAGGTTGGGGCAGTATGATAAGGAAGCCAAAAGTAGAAAGTAGAGCAGCTCTCAGGGCCTGGAGGGAGGGGCAATACAAAGGAAATGGAGGCTGACCTCCCTTCCCAGCCGCTGTCTGGTCCAGGCCTCAGGTTCACAGCACCTCTCTTCTCTGTGCAGGGACTATGGAGAGGGAAGGCCATCCTTCAGGGTGTTAGAGGGGAAGCCACTCCAAGAGTTGATTCAAATTCTGCCTTTCACTCTCCAGGGGCAGTGGGAAGACAGAGACAGGCAACTATGGGGGACAGGCACTGTGGGTGGGAGTGACACCCTGAGCTGAGTCCCTGAGGTGCAGCCACCTTGCAGCCTCTTTTCCATCACCCCCTCCCCCCAGATAGATAGAAAGCAGGGATTTTGCTTTGGTGACTGGTTATGAGGAGGAAACTGGTTTGGAGCCAGCTGTGTATGAGTGTGTGGGAGTGACTTTCTTTTCCCATCCACCTGCTGCCCATAGTGGGGGGACCCAGGCAAGCTTCCAGAGAAAAATGTTCCACTTTGGGAAAAGGAATGACTCAGTTTCCCTATGGAGAGAAGGGAGGCTGACACCCTCAGTGCCTTGTATGCTTACCAACGATTTCAGTGTTTCTGGGTTTTTGGGTCTGGACTCTTGCCACTTTTCCTTATACTTTTTTCTAGCCTAGATAGATAAGGAATGTCCCCTTCCCCTTGGGTACCCAGAACCCTGTTTCTCGCTGCCTCTTACCTCACTCTGGCCTAGCTACTTTTCTGACACTTCTCCAGGTATTGCCAGGTCACTCTGACTGGTTGACTTCCACCTGCCCTCTTCTCTCTCTAGCCAGGGTAGCCAACAAGATGAAGAAACAGCTTGGGGCTCGGGGCTAGGACAGCAGAGGTGGAAGCTCAGCCCCTGTCCCTGTTGAGAGGAAATGAACAGCAAAAGAAAGTGGGGAGGCCGGGCGCGGTGGCTCACGCCTGTAATCCCAGCACTTTGGGAGGCCGAGGCGGGTGGATCACGAGGTCAAGAGATCGAGACCATCCTGGTCAACATGGTGAAACCCCGTCTCTAATAAAATATGAAAATTAGCTGGGCATGGTGGCGCACGTCTGTAGTCCCAGCTACTCGGGAGGCTGAGGCAGGAGAATTGCCTGAACCCAGGAGGTGGAGGTTGCAGTGAGCCGAGATTGTGCTACTGTACTCCAGCCTGGCACCTGGCGACAGAGTGAGACTCTGTCTCAAAAAAAGAAAGTGGGGAAATTAGGAAGGGGCTTTGAGATGGGCCGGGGGGCTATTTGTTGTACACCCAAAGGAAATGTTAGCATCTCTCTTTTCACTCTTTGGAGGATTATCATGGGGTCCTGTGCTTGCAGTGAGCCAGACAGCTCAAGGGGTCCCTAGGAAGATATTGTGGTATGGAAGGAAGAGGTGGTATAGGAAAGGCTGCCTCTGATGTTTACAGACTAGAGAGGCAGGAAGGTCAAAGTGGAGAAATTAAAAATGGTCCTTGCCCAGAGCTAAGGGAGTCCTTGTACATATGAGTCCAGCCTTTGGGGAAACCTTGCCAAGCCTAGAGAAAGGGCTGCTGGTGGGAGGTGGGGAGACAGAGAAGGCAGATGGCCTGACTACAAAAGCCGCCTCCCTGTCACTGCGAAGTGGGGAGGAGGCACCTCCCTAGAAATCTGCCAGGCTCTCTGCCAGAGGCAATGGTTTGAGCTCAGAATATCACCAGCCTCAGGGCCCAAATAGTCCCCAGTCCTGTGTGGACTGGACCCAGCACCCACTAACTCAGCCGGGAGCAGTCACAGAGTTGACAGCTTCTCTCCAAGAGAGGCAATTTGGGCTCTGAGGGATGCGACAGGAGCTCCAGGATGATCCAGGAATGGCTCCAGGTGGGGGGAGCCTCAGGCTGCAGAAACAGACATGGAAGGAGAGCAGGGGAGCAGGCGAAGGTAGAGTGAGGGCCTGGAAGAGGAAGGGAAGTCAGATACGTGAGAGACTGAGGAGAAACAGGGTTCGAGGCAGTGTCAAGTGTGAGTGGAGTAACGGGGGTGGGGGGGGCGTCTGGAAGGTGAAGGTGAGAAATCTGTGTTGTCCCTCCTTCCTGCTTTAGAAGCTTTGGCAACACATGTTTGGCAGTTGTTTTGTATACATACTACGCCCTGCCCCAGTGGTATCACTTGGGCAGGCACCAAAGGAGCTGAAGGGAGGGGTGTGGATTGAGTATATGGTGAAGGAGAAAGGCCATAGGCAATCCCAACCACAGGGGGCATGATCTGACCGTCCTTTAGCCACACTCTTCCCTTTGGAACAGAAGTCCTTGGCTCCCTCTTTAGACCATGCGCTAGACACCCAGGGCGCTGTAATGCTCTGCCCAAATGACCACAGTTTTGCTTCCAGAGCCTTAGTGGGCTGTTCTCCCAGATTTATCCTCCTGAGGACTGATTTTGCCACGCAAAGGGTGAGCAAAGAATGGTTGTCAGGGGCCAGGTGTGGTGGCTCACACCTGTAATAACACCACTCCCAGAGGCTAAGGCAGGTGGATCACCTGAGGTCAGGAGTTCGAGACCAGCCTGGCCAACATGGTGAAACCCTGTCTCTAATAAAAGTACAAAAATTAGCCAGGTGTGGTGGCACATGCCTGTAATCCCAGCTACATGGGAGGCTGTGGCAGGAAAATCACTTGAAACTGGGAGGTGGAAGTTGCAGTGAGCTGAGATTGCACCATCGCATTTCAGCCTGGGCAACAGAGCAAGACTGTGTCTCAAAATAAATAAATAAATAAATAAAATAAAGAATGGTTGCTGGGGAATATGGATTGAGCTTGAACTTGTCAACTAGGATACTAGGATATTGGGCCTGGCTAAAGGCTTCCATGTTTATTTCTTTATTTTTTTTGGTAGAGCTAAGAGGCTCCTTATGTTGCCCAAGCTGGATTTGAACTCCTGAGCTCAAGTGATCCTCCTGCCTCAGCCTCTTGAGTAATTTACTCTTATTCCTGGTTGTAAATGTTAGGAATGACCAGTCCATAGTATGGGGAGGGATGAGGACTATGCATAAGGAGGCTCAGACATTGAACCCAGAGGGGGGTAACCTTTGCTTTTCAGTTTCTCACTGGGGGAAAGAAAGGCTATGCTCAAGGCCCTGGGCATAATAATTTATATACGGACCTGTGGGATAAACAAGATTTAAACAACAACAAACTTAAAAGAAAATTGGGGCCAGGCACTGTGGTTTATGCCTATAATCCCAGCCCTTTGGGAGACCAAGTGGGTGGATCGCTTGAGGTCGGGAGTTAGAGACCACCCTAATTAACATGGAAAAACCCTGTTTCTACTAAAAAAAAAACACAAAAATTAGCCGGGCGTGGTAGCGCATGCCTGTAATCCCAGCTACTTGGGAGACTGAGGCAGGAGAATCTCTTGAACCTGGGAGCCTGAGATCTCTCCATTGCACTTCAGCCTGGAAAACAAGAAACTCCATCTTAAAAAAAAAAAGTTTTTGATTTACAGGAAAAAAAAATGAAGGTGATAGAGGACTCCCACATATTCTGCACCCAATTTTTCTTTTGATGAACATCTTAGCATTAGTATGATGCATTTGTAACAACTAATTAACTAATATTGATACATTATTATTAACTAAAGCCCATGCTTTATTTAGATGTCCTCAGTTTTTATCCAGTATTCGTTTTCTCCTCCATGATCACATTCAGAAAACCACATTACATTTAGTTATCAGGTCTCCTTAGCCCTCTTAGCTGACAGTTTCTCAGAATTCCTTTGATTTTGATCACCTTCACCTTAGTTTCTTCCTTACTTTCCCTTGTATTCAAGAAGTATGGAGGGCCTGGAGATTTTGGTAGGACTGTCAGATTCGGGGGTGGTGATATGTGTGCAACTAAGGCATGTTAGTGCCGCTTTTGAAACATAGGTATGGAAATGAGAATAACTCTTTTAGCCCCAGGGGCTTAGGAGAACAGAAAGAGGGCCAGAAAAAGAGAAAGTTCGTATTGCTGAACGCAGCACCCTTGCCCTCCACGCCCCACCCTTGTCCCCAGCCACACCCTTGCCGCACCTACTAACGGGGCTAACGAACGAAAGGGTGTCGGAATACGATGGAGAAGCCCGGTCGACGGTGACGTCGTGGGCAACGTCGGGTTATGAGCGGCCTTTCGAGCTCGTCGAGTCTTCGAGTCTCTGTGGTGCCTCAGCTCCTGGATGTCCTCTCTTAACAGAGAGGAACAATGCGGGCCGACTAGCCTAGTCCCTTAGTTTCCTCGCCAGCGCAGGCAAATACGGTTTCCATCCATGGAACTACAATTCCCAGAAGACAGAGGGACGTCCCTTGCTGCATTTCTATTGGTTGGCGTTTGTTACTCCCAGCCAATAGAAAGTGAACTTCTTGACAAGGGTCAAAATGGCGATGCTTAAGACCTAGAACTGGATTGTGCGGTAGGCTTAAATTTGGGGAGGTGGTGGATGAAAAGGAAATTGGGAGGTATAGTTACAGGGTTGGAGAAGGTGGAGGAAATGAGGGGACAAATCTGAACTTGGCGTGGTGGTGGCCGAGGGACGCATTTAGAGCTAAGGGCCTAATTAGGCAACCAGGACTGGCTTAACCCCTTGATGCCCTACTCAGTCTATTAGTTCCTTTGATACTTTCTTCATTTATTTATTTATTTTCTGAGACGGAGTTTCACTCCGGTGCCCTGGCTGGAGTGCAATGGCGCTATCTCGGCTCACCGCAACCTCCGCCTCCGGGGTTCAAGTGATTCTCCTGGCCTCCCGAGTAGCTGGGATTACAGACACGCGCCGCCGAGGCCCGGCTAATTTTGTATTTTTAGTAGAAACGGGGTTTCTCCGTGTTGGTCAGGCTGGTGTCGAACTCCCGACCTCAGGTGATTCACTCGCCTTTGCCTCTCAAAGTGCTGGGATTACAGGCGTGAGCCACTACGCCTATCCCAGATACTTTCTTCTTAGTGCCCCAGTTTAAGGAAGGGTGGTTCAGGAGGGAGAGCCTGAAAAGAGCTTGCCTTTACCTCTTTTTCTTTTCTTTTTTTTTTTTTTTTGAGACGGAGTTTTCGCTCTTGTTACCCAGGCTGGAGTGCAATGGCGCGATCTCGGCTCACCGCAACCTCCGCCTCCTGGGTTCAGGCAATTCTCCTGCCTCAGCCTCCTGAGTAGCTGGGATTACAGGCACACGCCACCATGCCCAGCTAATTTTTTGTATTTTTTTAGTAGAGACGGGGTTTCACCATGTTGACCAGGATGGTCTCGATCCCTTGACCTTGTGATCCACCCGCCTCGGCCTCCCAAAGTGCTGGGATTACAGGCTTGAGCCACCGCGCCCGGCTACCTCTTTTTCTTTCAAATTCCTCTACTTCGCTTAAATCTTCCGCATCTTCTCCTTTCTATTTAATTTTGCCTTCCCCTGTTCTCCTTAGAACTTCGTCTCCTTTTGTTTAGCTCCATTTCTCTCACCTCAAAGCCAGCTGCCACCGGCGCCACCTGCTCAGAGTGAAATCATGAAGGTGGTGAACCTGAAGCAAGCCATTTTGCAAGCCTGGAAGGAGCGTTGGAGTGACTACCAATGGGCAATCAACATGAAGAAATTCTTTCCTAAAGGAGCCACCTGGGACATTCTCAACCTGGCAGGTCTCAAGTGAACTGGGAAAAAAAGGATGGGAGGGATAAAGCCAGAGAAGTTGTAATCGCTCAGTCATGTTTTTTTTATTCCCCTTGCAGATGCATTACTGGAGCAGGCCATGATTGGACCATCTCCCAATCCTCTCATCTTGTCCTACCTGAAGTATGCCATTAGTTCCCAGGTAAGCTCCCTCCAAACTCCCACCAAGAAATGAGAGTTTTCGGGATAAAAAACTTGGAGTGCGTTTGGTGCATTTGGGCCCTGGTGGTTCATGCCTGTAATCCCAGCATTGTGAGAGGCCGAAGTGGGCGGATTGCTTGATCCCAGGCGTTTGAGATCAGCCTGGGTAACGTGGCAAAGCCCAATCTCTACCCAAAAATATAAAAAGTTAGCCCTGTGTGGTGGCACCCCTGTGCTCCCAGCTACTTAGAAGGCTGAGGTGGGAGGATCACCTCAGCCCTGGGAGGTCAAAGCTGCCATGAGCCATGATCCTGCCGCTGCACTCCAGCCAGAGCAACAGAGCGAGACCCTGTCTCAGAAAACAAACGAAATTTAGAGTACAGTTGTGCGATTGTCAGTCTACTCTTTCTGGATGAACTTGTTTGAATAGATCATTTCACTGAGTTTCAGTGACCTCATAAAATCACTAGTACTTCATTTTTTTTTTTTTTTTTTGAGACGGAGTTTTGCTCTTGTTACCCAGGCTGGAGTGCAATGGCACGATCTCGGCTCACCGCAACCTCCGCCTCCTGGGTTCAGGCAATTCTCCTGCCTCAGCCTCCTGAGTAGCTGGGATTACAGGCACATGCCACCATGCCCAGCTAATTTTTTGTATTTTTAGTAGAGACGGGGTTTCACCATGTTGACCAGGATGGTCTGGATTTCTCGACCTCGTGATCCACCCGCCTCAGCCTCCCAAAGTGCTGGGATTACAGGCTTGAGCCGCCGCGCCCGGCCTAGTACTTCATTTTTTATGATGAATATTACATTCACGTATTCTGCTGGGAGTGGTAGGAGGCAGCACAGGCCTGTGGCCCCACCTACTCAGAAGGCTGAGGTGGAAGGATTGCTTGCTTGAGCCCAGGAGTTTGAGGCTGCAGTGAGCACTGATTGTGCCACTGCACTCCAGCCTGGGCAACAGAACAAGACTCCATTTCTTAAAAACAACAACGACCAGGCTTGGTGGCTCAGGCCTTTAATCCCAGCACTTTGGGAGGCCGAGGCAGGCAGATCACCCGAGGTTAGGAGTTCAAGACTAGCCTGACCAACATGGAGAAACCCCATTTCTCCTAAAAATACAAAATTAGCCAGATGTGGTGGTGCATGCCTGTAATCCCAGCTACTCGGGAGGCTGAAGCAGGAGAATTGCTTGAACCCGGGAGGCGGAGGTTGCGGTGAGCTGAGATCGCGCCATTGCACTCCAGCCTGGGCAACAAGAGTGAAACTCTGTCTCAAAAAAAGAAAACAAAAAAACCCCACCATCACCAACAACCAAAATAAAAAGGATTCCATTTACTTATTCTATCAACAAATGTTCATGAATGCTTATATGTGCAAGACAGTGCTAGCCCCTGGGGACATAGGTGTGAACAAGACCTGATCCCAGTACACACAGAATTTAGTGGGTAATACAGACATGTAAATAAGCAGTCACTGGATGAGTTTATGATAAAGGTTAGGACAGAGTACAGATGCTCCTCAGCTTACGGTGGGGTTATGTCCTGATACACCACTCATAAGTTGAAAATGTACTTAATACACATAACTTGCCAAAGGTCTTCTTTTTTTTTTTGTTTTAAGATGGGGTTTCACCACGATGGCCAGGCTGGTCTTGAGCTGTTGACCTCAGGTGATCCACCCACCTCAGCCTCCCAAAGTGCTAGGATTACAGGTGTGAGCCACCCCACCCGGCCCAAAGGTCTTATATCTACCTTAAATGTACTTAGAACACTCTAGCTTACAGCTGGGAAAAATCATCTAACACAAAGCCTATTTTATTTATTTTTATTTTTTGAGAAGTAGTCTGATTGTCACCCAGGATGGAGTGCAGTGGCACAACCTCAGTTCACTGCAACCTCTGCCTCCTGGTTCAAGCAATTCTCCCTGCCTCAGCCTCCTGAGTAGCTGGGATTACAGGCACTGGTCACCATGCCTGGCGAATTTTTTTGTATATTTTAGTAGAGGTGAGGTGTCACCATATTGGCCAAGCTGGTCTTAAACTCCTGACCTCAGGTGATCTGCCTGCCTTGGCCTACCAAATTGCTGGAATTACAGGTGTGAGCCACCATGCCTGGCCCACAAAGCCTATTTTATAATGAAGTGTTGAATATCTCATGTAATTTATTTATTTTTATTTTTTGAGACAGACTTTCACTCTGTCACCCAGACTGGAGTGCAACAGCACAGTCACAGCTCACTGTAGCCTCCAACTCTCTGGCTCAGGTCATCCTCCCACCTCAGCCTCCTGAGTAGCTGAGACTACAGGCATGTGCCCAGCTAATTTGTGTATTTTTTGTATAGCCGGGGTTTTTCCATATTGCCCAGGCTGGTCTTGAACTCCTGGGCTCGAGCAATCTACCCTCCTTGGCCTCCCCATGTGCTGGGATTACAGGCATGAGCAGCCGTGCCTGGTTTCAGGTAATTTATTGGACATTGTACTGAAAATGAAAACAGAATGATTGTATGGCTATTTATTTTTGTATATTTAGTGGGGGTACAAGTGCAGATTTCTTTCTTTTTTTTTTTTTTTTTGTGACAGAGTCTTGCTCTATTGTTCAGGCTGGAGTGCAGTGATGTGCACTCCTTGGCTTACTGCGACTTCTGCCTTCTTGGTAAAGTGATTCTTGTGCCTCAGCCTCCTGAGTAGCTGGAACTACAGGCATCTGCCATCACACCCAGCCTAATTTTTGTATTTTTAGTAGAGATGGGGTTTTGCCATGTTGGCCAAGCTGATCTTGAACTCCTGATCTCAGATGATCCACCTGCCTCAACCTAACCAAGTGCTGGGATTATAGGCATGAGCCACCGTGCCTGGCCAGAAGTGCAGATTTCTTATGTGCATATATTGCATCGTGGGAAATCTGGACTTTTAGTATACGCATCACTCCAACAGTGAACATTGTACCCAATAAGTAATTTTTCAACCCTCACTCCACTCCCACCTTCCCACCTTTTATATTGTCTAGTGTCTATTAGTCTACCTGTTGTATAGCTCCCACTTATCAGTGAGAACATGTGGTATATGACTTTCTATTTCGGAGTTATTTCACTGAGGATAATGGCTTCCATGTATGAGCACTTGAAGTCCAATTTTTTTTTTTTTTAAGACAGAGTCTTGCTCTGTCGCCAAGGTTAGAATGCAGTGCTGTGATCTTGGCTCACTGCAACCTCTGCCTCCTGGGTTCAAGCAATTCTCCTGCCTCAGCCTCCTGAGTACCTGGGAACATACAGGTGCCCGTCACTGCACCCGGCTAATTTTTGTATTTGTAGTAGAGATGGGGTTTCACCATGTTGGCTAGGCTTGTCTTGAACTCCTGACCTCGTGATCCACCTTCCTTGGCCTCTCAAAGTGCTGGAATTACAGGCGTAAGCCACTGCACCCAGCCGAAGTACAATTTCTACGGAATGCAGCATATCTCATATCTTTTTTGAGACAAGGTCTTACACAGTGTGGTGGTGTGATCTCTTCTCACTGCAACCTCCACCTCCTGGGCTCAAGTGATTCTCCTGCCTCAGTCTCTTGAGTAGCTGGGAACACAAGTGCACACCACCACACCCAGCTAATTTTTTTTTTTTTTTTTTTTTTTTTTGAGACGGAGTTTCGCTCTTGTTACCCAGGCTGGAGTGCAATGGCGCGATCTCGGCTCACCGCAACCTCAGTCTCCTGGGTTCAGGCAATTCTCCTGCCTCAGCCTCCTGAGTAGCTGGGATTACAGGCATGCACCACCATGCCCAGCTATTTTTTTTGTATTTTTAGTAGAGACGGGGTTTCACCATGTTGACCAAGATGGTCTCGATCTCTTGACCTTGTGATCCACCCGCCTCGGCCTCCCAAAGTGCTGGGATTACAGGCTTGAGCCACCGCGCCCGGCCTAATTTTTATATTTTTAGTAGAGACAGGGTTTTACCATGTTGGCCAGGCCTGGTCTTGAACTCTGACCTCAGGTGATCCACCCACCTCGGCCTCCCAAAGTGTTGGGATTACAGGCATGAGCCACTGTGCCCAACCTGAATGGGTATCTCTCTCTCTCTCTCTCTTTTTTTTTTTTTTTTTTTTTGCATGGAGTCTTGCTCTGTGGATCAGGCTGGAGTGCAGTGGTGTGATCTCAGCTCGTTGTAACCTCTGCCTCCCAGGTTCAAGCAATTCTCCTGCCTCAGCCTCCTGAGTAGCTAGGATTACAGGCACATGCCACCACGCCCAGCTAATTTTTTCCATTTTTAGTAGAAACAGGTTTCACCGTGTTAGCCAGGATGGTCTCGATCTCCTGACATTGTGATCTGCCCACCTCGGCCTCCCAAAGTGCTGGGATTACAGGCATGAGCCATAGCACCTGTTCTCTTTTTTTTTTTTTTTGAGACAGAGTTTTGCTCTTGTTACCTAGGCTGGAGTGCAATGGCGCGATCTCAGCTCACTGCAACCTCTGCTTCCTGGGTTCAGGCAATTCTGCCTCAGCCTCCTGAGTAGCTGGGATTACAGGCACACGCCACCATGCCCAGCTAATTTTTTGTATTTTTAGTAGAGGTGGGGTTTCACCATATTGACCAGGATGGTCTTGATCTCTTGACCTCGTAATCCACCCACCTCAGCCTCCCAAAGTTCTGGGATTACAGGCTTGAGCCACCGCGCCCAGCTCTCTTTTTTTTTTTTTTTGAGTTGGAGTTTCACTCTTGTCCCCCAGGCTGGAGTGCAGCGGCATGATCTCAGCTCACTACAACCTCCACCTCCCGGACTCAAACGATTCTCCTGCCTTAGCCTTCTGAGTAGCTGGGATTACAGGTGTACACCACTACACCCTGCGAATTTTTGTATTTTTAGTCGAGTTGGGGTTTCACCATGTTGACCAGGTTGGTCTCAAACTTCTGACCTTAAGTGATCCATCCGTCTCAGCCCCCCAAATTGCTGGGATTATAGGCACGAGCCACTGTGCCCATGCATATCTCTTTTTACACCATCGTAAAGTT